AGGAAGAAAATACAGAAATCAATGACATTAAAAACAAAATAGCAATAGATAAAATGAAAGCTGATTCTTTGAAGAGATCAATAAACCTGACAAAGGAAGAAGAGAGAAGACAAGTACCTAGTATCAGGAATGAATAGAGACTACAATCACTACAGATTTTGCAGATATCAAAAGGATAATAAGGGAATATCATGGAAAACTCTACACAGATAAATTTGACCACGTAGATGAAATGGACAAATTCCTCATAAGTACAAACTACTACAACTCACTCAATATGAAACTGATCGTTTGTATAGCTCTATAACTGTTCAGGAAAGTCAATTTGTAATTTAAATATTCCAAGGAAAGAAATCCCAGACCCAGATGGTTGTGCTGGGGAATTCTACCAAAAGATTAAAGAAGAATTAATATCAATTCTATACAATCTCTTCCAGAAAATAGAAGAGTACAAAACACTTCTCAATTCATTCTATGAAGCCTGTATTACCCTGACACCAAAACCAGGGGGGAAAAAGTTCAAAAAGAAAACTGTAGCTATCTTACGTAAATATATAAATATTCTAATATCCTACAAATTTCCCTCATGAATATAGATGAAAAATCTTAACAAAATATTAACAAATAGAATTCAGCAATATGTACAAAGAATTACACACCATAACCAAGTGGGGTTTACACCAGAGATAAAAGGTAGGCTCAATAGTCAAAGAAGAAAATAGTTTAAATGCTCATAGCTATTATCATACTCAATGGGGAAAAGATGAAATCTTCTTCTCTAAGATTAGGAAAAAGACAAGGATGTCCACTCTACTACTTTTACTCAACATAACATTGGAAGTCCTAGCCAGAGCGATTAGGTAAGGAAAAGAAAGAAAAGAAATCCAAACTGGAAAGGAAAACGTAATACTGTCATTATTTGCAGATCAAATGATATTTTATATAAAAAACCCTAAAGATTCCACAAAAAACTGTTAGAACTAATCAATGAATTCAGTAAAGTTGCAGGATATAATCATAATACAAATAATACAAAAATCTGCTGTTTCTATACACTAATAGCAAAAAATCACAAGAAGAAATTAAGAAAACAATCCCATTTACAACTGTATCAAATATAATAAAATATCTAGGAATAGATTTAACCAAAGAGATGAAAGACCTGTATACTGAAAACTATAAGACACTGATGAGAAAAACTGAAGAAGACACAAAATAACTGAAAAGATACTCCATGCTCATGGGTTGGAAGAATTTACATTGTTAATATATCCATACTACCCAAAGAAATCTACAGATTCAATGCAAACCCTATAAAAATTTCAGTGGCATGTTTTACAGAAATAGAACAAACAAACCTAAAATTTGTATGGAACCACGAAAGCTCCCAAATAGTCAAATCAATCTTGAGAAAGAAGAACAAAGCTGGAGGTATCATGCCTTCTGATTTCAAACTATATTACAAAGTTATAGTAATCAAACAGTATGTTATCAGCATAAAAACAGACACCTAAATCAATGAAACAGAATAGAGAGCCCAGAAATAAGCACACAATTAATTTATGACAAAGGAGCCCAGAATATACAACAGAGAAAGGACAGTCTCTTCAAAAATGGTGTTAGGAAAACTAGAGAGCCACATGCAAAAGAATGAAACTGGACCACTATCTTACACCATACACAAAAATTAATTCAAAATGGATTAAAGACTTAAAAGTAAGACCCTAAACCATAAAACTCCTTTAAAAAAACACAGATGGTAAGCTCCTTGACATTGACCTTGGCAATGATTTTTTGAATTTGACACAAAAAGCAATGGGAACGCAAGCAAAAATAACAAGTGAAACTACATTAAACTAAAAAGCTTCTGCACAGCCAAGGAAACCATCAATAAAATGAAAAGTTAACTTACCAAATATTTGAAAATCATATATCTGTTGAGAGATTAACAGCCAAAATTCACAAAGAACTTATATAACTCAATAGCAAAAAATTCCAGGTAATAATGGGCAGAGAATCTGAATGGACATTTTGCCAAAGAAGACATGTAGATGGCCAAGAGGTACATGAAAACGTGCTCAATATCACTAATTATCAGAGAAATGCAAATCAAAATCACAATGAGCTATCACTTCACACCTGTTAGGATGGCTATTATCAAAAAGACAAGAAATAACAAGTGCTGGTGAGGATATGGAGAAAAAGAAATCCTTGTGTCCTGTTGGTGGGAATGTAAATTGGTGCAGCCACTATGGAAAACAGTATAGAGGTTCCTTAAAAAACTAAAAATAGAACTACCAGATGATCCAACAATTCCACTCCTGGGTATATGTCCAGTAAAAATGAAAACATTACTTTGAAAAGATATGTGCACCCCCATGTTCACAGCACCCCCACAGTAGCCAAGACATGGAAGCAACCCAGGTATGCATCAACAGAGTGTTAGATTAAGAAGATGTAATGTGTGTGTGTGTGTGTGTGTGTGTGTGTATACACACAATGGAGTATCACTCAGACTTTAAAAAGAATGAAACTGCCATTTGCAGCAATGTGGATGGACCTAGAGAATATGATGCTTAGTGAAATAAGTCAGACAGAAAAACATGAACACTATATGATATCACTTATATGTGAAATCTAAAAAAGCAAAACAAATGCATATGCAAAACAGAAACACACACAGACATAGAAAACAAATTTGTGGTTTCCAAAGGAGAGTGGGAAGAAGATATGTACAAATTAGGGGTATGGGATTAACAGATACAAACTACTATATAAAATAGTTAAGCAACAAAGGTATACTGTATAGCACAGGGAATCATATCCATCATCTTGTAATAACCTATAATGGAGTATAATCTGCAAATATACTAAGTCACTATGCTGTACACCTGGAGCTAACACAACATTGTAAATCAACTATACTGCAATAAAAAGAAAAACCCTAACAAACCACAAAAACAGAAGTATGGGCGATGGAGATAAGCCGGTATAGACTAGGGCAAGGAGTTTGATTTTATTTTAAATGCACTAAGCTAATTTCTCCCTAGAAGCCCCACTAATATTTAAAATATCTCAACTAGAAAAAATGGCTATGATGGCATGATTCCTTAGTGGAAGCTACAGACTGCTTGAGAGCAGGCATTTCACATTTGGGAGTAGCTTCTGAGCATGCTCAGACATGGGGCCCGTCCAAGGTTCCCAGTGGCCTGGCTGTAGGTTTGTTCACTGTGGGTTTTCCTTCCCTTCTTCGGATCGTGTTGCGCTGGTAAGTCTTCAGTAAATCCTGCTCTGTGGCTGCAAATAACGGTCGCAGTCAGTGCTGGGGTTAAAAGCAAACCTAAAGACTCAGTTCCTGTCAAGATAGATGGCAGACACTGTGGTTTGGATTGAACGACTACAGGCACAATACAGACTTAACCTTGCTGGCAGATGGTGTGTTTCCTTTAATATTTTCGACGAAAAGTATTCACACTATTTTGTTGCTTTGTTCTTCGACAACTTGCTTCCTGATAGGATGCAGCAGGAAGCACAAATACTACGTGCTGATCTTTCCAAAAATGTTTAGTTTGATCAGAATGTAGGACACGGAACAAGATAATTAGCCTGTCCTCTTCAGAAATTCAATGCCATCAGAAACAACAAAAACAAAGACATCAGGAGAGAGTTCCAGGTAATAAGGACCAAAGTGTAATTTAGAAACATTAATTAGAACAGGGGAAGATACCAGTATCACAACACACACACTTCTTAATCTCTTGCTCATATATATGTATAATATAGATGCATATGTTAAATGCATCTGTATCTACATACATGCACATGCATATGACATTTTTTAAACAATTGTAAAATTTATACCTGGAGCATATATTAGATAATAGTATTGAATTAGTATTAATGTCCTATGATTTGGTAATTGAATTGTATTATGGTTACATAGAACGATGCCCTTAACACCAGGAAATACATGCTGAAGTATTTAGAAGTGGGCATTTTGTCTGCATTTATTAAAGCAACATGAATGGGTGGGTGGGTGAGTGCAGACAGAGAAAAGGAGTAAATGAATGTTAATTGTTGTATTTAGATGAACAGAATAGAGGTGTTCATTGTATGGTTCTTTCAAATTTTCTGTAGGTTTGAAATTTTTCAAAGTAAATAATTGTGGGGGGAAATGATTGTAAAACACAGGAGACTGTGAAGAGCTGAGTCCTGGACTAAAAATTGGCTCTCAATGTCTCTCTCCCTTGCAGAAGGGTGTCAGTGCTCAATGCCATCCACTCATACAAAAAAATGTAAGTCAGAAGTGTGCTGTACAAACCCATCTAAAGGATCCCTTCCTGCCACCTAGGATTTGTCCTCCTTACATGAATCAGCCTTCTAACCCGGAAGTCTGGTAAGTTGGAGGCTACTTTATATGTTTCAAAGCTTCTGAATGAGATGTCCTGAAGTTATATTTGATAGCAAAAGACAGACAGAGGGTACGAGGAATTTATTTTTAGAAAAAAAATTCCAAATGAGAGTGGAGATATTTGAAAGCTACCAGTTCCATCTAGGTATGTTATCTCTCTCTCTGTGGGCCCTAAACAGAGACCTCTAGGATGGAACTTTTGTTAGAGTGTATCGGAAATACAACAGTGAACAGTAAGCTCTCAGGATCCTTCTCTGGCAGAGATTCTATCACTGTGTCCTTGGGTCCCCTGTTAGGTGGATATGTACGAGACCGCGGCTCTGCTTACAGATGCCCAACTGTGGAGGCAGAACTTTTTGTCTGAGTATCTTGGTTCCCAGAAGGTGAGACACAATGAATATTTTCTTTGTAATAGCAGGTGTACAATAATATTAATTTTGGAATGAAATGATGCACTCAGACCTGGTTTCTATCACTCTGGGGTATAAATGCAGTGGGCACTTTAAAGTTTGAGTTTCCTGCTTTAAGCTGAAGAAAGCAAGCTTTATAATTTTGATTTGCACAAAAAGATGATAGCCAACAGAATGTATATAAAATAGACTCTATTCTAGGATCTTTATAAACCCCCAACCTTCAAGGAAAAAGGACATGTGCTGAAGAGCTCATGAATGGTCTGCAGCGACACTATTCTGGCTTATTCTTCACCCAAATCCTTGCCATTTTCTTCCAGCTGCTGCTGACTCCAGTTATCCACAGGATGGGGGTGGGAAGGAAAAAGGGTTAGGGCTTCTCAAGATTATCTGAGAATCTAGGTATTGGTGTTCCTTAGGCAGTTATCACATTTGCAGGCTGAAGGGCTGTGATTTCTGTAATCAAACTATCCATTTGGAGTAAAAGTCTGGAGTGGCTGTGAAATCCTGCTCTTCCTTTCAGGTTTGGAATTTTGCTTGTTTTGTTGTTTTTCTCATCAATTGGGGAAATGTTTGTGACTATGCTTTGTTGAAATAAGACAGAACGTCTCATAGTTCCAGCACTAGTTGTTACCTGAAACAGAAAATGGAAACAAAAACTGAGAATTTTCTATCAGGTTCTGCTGATACCAAACTGAGGTTTGATTGAGAGCTAAGAGAGGAAAGAGTCCACGTGCCACCTGAATGCAGTTGAGTGGATAAGCTATGGCGGTAAGCCTACAGTCTGTAAAGAGAAAGTTGTGCTAGCAGATTAGAGGGAAAGTCCTCTGAAAGATACTGTCTGCACTGTGGTGTGGAACTTAGGCCCCCACCAGCTCAAAATACTGATAGCCCTGCTCAAAGCTGCTGTACCTTTAAGCAGCTTTTAGCTAGATCCCTACCACCTCCTCCTCAGTATCAGTTTACTCTCCATTCTACTCTTGTGGAGAAAAATGAAGGCCTTTCACACCTCTCAGGAGAGATGTGCCTAGCTTCAAGCATGCACATTCAGAAACAGGAAAGAGAGGATATTTTGAATGGAAATCTGGCTCCTAAATCCATGTCCGATTCCTTTTAAATAGGAGGGTGGTGCCAAGGGAACAGCCCTGGAATGTGAAACCAGGAGGCTCTCAGACACCACCTGTGTAATGTAATTTATAATAAGAAATGTATATTTGGTCTTCATCTCTGTTTCTGGCATAGAGCTCCTAAAACCCTTGGAATTTCCTAAGTGATGGAGGGATAAAGGTTATTGTGTTATGTTAATGAGGTAACTTTTGGAAAGCAAGGAATGTGGGGGGCTTGTTGCCAGGAAGGTCCACCTTGTGATTAGAGGGCTGGAATTTCCAGTCCCAGCTCCTCACCTCCTGGGAGGGTTTTTAGTGTTGTGAGAGCTTCCGGGTTGGTGAACACATGGAGGTGCTGGGAGAGTGGCTTGCTCTGAGAGGGCGTGGAAGCTCCACACCCTTCCCCACTGCCTTGCCCTATGCATCACTTCCATTTGCTGTTCCTGAGTTATATCCTTTTATAATAAACCAGTAATCTATTGATAGTAAGTAAAATGTTTCTCTGAGTTCTGTGAGAAACAATTCTAGGAAATTAATTGAACCTGAGGAGTGGGTGGTGCTATCCTCTGATTTCTAGCCAGTCAGTCAGAAGTACAGGTAACAACGTGGGCTTTCAACTGCCCTCAGAAATGGACAGGGTATGGGGGTGTGAGGCAGGCCTGAAGGCCTGAATGCTTAACCCTTAACCTGTGGAAGGGGAAATCTCCCTTACCACGTTGGAATTGGTACCAGAACCTATATACCATTCAGGTACAGTTCCTTTGCCCATGAGGAAACAGTAGGTCAAGAGGTTAAGTAGTAACTAAAGCCACATGACCTGTAAATTGAGAAACCTGGGACTGGAATCCAGGCTTCAATAATAGGGTGAATTTTGTAACTAAGTGGTGGATTTCCCAGAGCTACTCATTCCTGGAGCCTGGAGTCTTGGGGACCTGTAGAGGGAGCACCTTTCTAGGTTGAAAAAACTATGAGAATTCTCGGTTGTGAAATAGTTTTGGTCTCCCCATCATCTTTTGTTTCGATACCCAGATGTGGCAAGAGAAAAGAGTGATCTGAGAGTGATCTCACCCTGTGGGTTTTGACCACTTACCTCTGGAATATGACTCAGGTGAGCCAGAAGGCTCTGATTTTCTTTCCTGATGTCTGTTTTCATTGTACAGCTGGGCAGTGGACTCCAAGACCTGCCTGTAGAAGTGAGAAGTGCATCCTGTTCCAGGAAATAATCACAGTTTAGACAAGTTACATACATTTGCTTAAGAGGATGCTCTCTGCAGTTCCTTGTCCTGTGCTTCTGTCTCGGCTCAGAACAAAATTGGCACTCAAGGGTTGGGACTGCAGCGTGATGGGGCAGAAGCTTAACTTTCACATGGCCCTTAACAAATGCCAGAACGTTCATACGTATTATCACACCTAGCGGCTGCAATTAGAAAGAAACCTTTGGTGTGGGAAGGGGCCAGGTCACTGTCCCAGCACAAGACTGTGGAATGATGGCCTCTGTGTGAATGCAATCTAAGAGGAGGATGTGGGAACAAGAACCACCTTGGGGACCATGAAGAGTGACCACGACAAAAGGGAGGGGGTGAGCATGGCAGCCGTGGAGACCCTCACTCTGCTGGAAAAAGAGCTCAGAAACCTGAGTTCTGCTGAATGACGATCACACAAGAGGAGAAGAGCAGAAAGTATACAGCACAGGAGTCACAAGAATGGCTTTGGAGGTCAGACAGCTCTAGGATGGAGGCATAGCTCAGCCTTGGGGCAAATCTATCAGATTTTACTTACTTAAATCTACTTACCTATCAAGTAAGATTAATAGGACCTGCCCCATCTGCCTAGCTGGGCCATTTATAAGAAGTAAGTGAAGTAAGGTATATCAAAGCTCTTGAAGTCTGTGAAGCCCTGCACAGGAGACTGGTCCTTAGAGAGATACACATGGCCAGAAGGAGGCAAACTTGGGCCTCCCCTACCATTTCTTTGGTCAGGAATGCTGAGATGATGTTCCAACTTTTCTGGAAGGCTGGCATTGATGAAAAGGATTTCCTTCAGGTGCTGGCACAGGTTCTGGATCTCATCTACTGCAGCCATTCCCCCAGGACACGGAATGATGTAGAAGGTGGAAAATCCTTATCAGTAATGGGGTGGCTGGGGCCTCTCAGCAAGATCCCTGCCTTTCACCATTCTTCTGCCAATTCATCTTCTCATCAGGGAACACCAGGTAGCTTCCTTTAAGAGCCCTTAGGCTTTCAAACAAAGCGTGGCTCAGGGCCAAGCTCACTCCATACAGCCACCTCCTACACAAGGATCTGGGAAGTATAAGGGAGGTTGACACAAGGTGGGAAAACACTGAAGGCCTCTGAGTAGGTCTTGTCTAGCACTGGGAAAGGAGCGGCCCCCTCTTCAGTATGACTTTGTGGGTACTAGGAAGGTATTCCTCTCTCCTAAATACCTCTCCCATCTGATTTATGACTGAACATCTTTAAGAGATGGCAAAGACCTCCCTCTGCACCACAGGGTGAAATGGGAAGCAGGAGTGAAGATACCTTTGTAAGGGAATGGACTGAGTAACAAAAGATACGTACTTATACCCATCTCTGGCAAAAAGACAAAACCTGATGTGGTTTATATCACTATGAAACACTCAGTTAACAGTGAGCAAATTAAGATAGTTTCTTTCTCATGCCTAGAAGAGAATATAAAATGTATTGTCCTCTAAAAATCCAAACTTTTGTCCCCAAAGGAAAGTCATTCAAGTAGGGGAAAGGAGATGAAAGTTGAGGTCTTAGTGTGCACACACACACCAATGAGTCTGTTAACCCAGGGCCTCTTACTCATGGAGGAGCTTCACTGGCTAGTTTGGGTGGGTTTTTTGGAAAGGGGCATGCTAGTGGCATTGCTGCTAGATTCAGCCATTTCTCTAGTAGATAATGCTAGTTGTTGGTTTAGATTAGAATACTGCACTGAGACTAAACCCACAAACAAACAAAAATAACCCCACCAAATCTTGTGTTGCACAAAGAATGGGAACCCTGGCCATTTACCCAAGTGTTGCCAAGATCAGAGCCTTGGCCTTAGGGACACCACCGATATTCTAGTACTAAGATGGAACCTCATGGGGAGACAAGCCACCTGAGGGGAGATGGACACTGGTGCTTGAACTCAGGTACCATGATAAGTGGGCCCCAAATATGGGCAAGACTGCCAATATTCTTGGACAGCTAGAAAAGCCTAAGGGACGCCGTTCCGGAACTATAAATAGCAAGAACAATTCAGAAAGGCTAAGATGCTTCATCTTAAAGAAGGAAGTTTATTAGAGAGACTCCGTGCATGTGTTGAAGGGTGGCAGAGAGTTTGCCATTATCCCTTCACTCTGCGCTCTGGTTTGCCTGGGGTTCCTCAGCTTGCATATGCCAGTGGGGGACAGAGGGACGGAGGTGAGGAGTGGAACGGTGCAAATGACCAGACTCACCAAGGAGTAAGTTTTTGTACTTAAACCTTGGACCCAGAACTGTGTTCAGCCTAATCACTTTTTCAAAGTTAGTTTTTCGGGACTGCCTGCAGAGATGATCTCAATCAGCGTAGACAGAGGTGGTGAGCATGTAAAAGCTACCAGAGCTTTATTATTCAGTCTTCTGGTTTTGGGGGGTTATTCTCTTTAACTGGGAGTACTCACTGGCTACATCCACAGCAGAGGTCGCCTCCTGCACATCACACACAAAGGCATTGCTGCTGGGAGGCTGGTGGGAGTCGTGGAGACTGGAATGAGTCAGATACCTTTCATCCAGTGAGTCCTCCAGGACTTCATTCACTTCTTCCTCCTGGAGCCCCCTGCTGAGCCTGGGTGGGGGATGGAGAGGAGGGAGGGTGGAGGGCAGGCAAGACAGGAGATTAAACTAAGGCAACCTGGAACCACAGCCTCACAGCTGGTCCTGATCTGAAGCTCATGGAAGAGGCACCAGAAACCAAAGGGGCCATCCTCTCAGAGAGAGAAAGCATAACAATCCACTTCTGACTGGGGTTATAGTGTGCCTGGAGTTGGGGTAGGAGAGAGAGCAGCAAGTGTTCAGTGTACTGACCTCATAACGCGGATGAGGAAGTAGACTCAACGACTCCTCTAAAATACACTCTGACACATCGAACACACAGAGACCTATAATATTGGCTTTAAAATGCTGTGGACAAATTTTATGTAATAGTATATGAAGGAGTCCATTGAATAATGGCTGCTGAGGCAATGTAACCTCCTAGGGCTCTTGCAGCTTTTAGACCTCTCTCTCTCTCTCTCTAAATGTTTGATATGATTGACTTTATTTTTCAAGATATTTCTGGCTATGAAACATCTGCCAACATATCTCAGGAAACTGTGCAGAAACCAGATAGGCATCTCACTTTAGCTTTTAACCATGCAGGTTTTTAGAAAATAGAAACCAGGGATCTCTGGCTGGTTTACCTTTAGGTCAGAATGACTCTAGTTAACCTAGCTTGAGAAATTACTAAGAAATGGTAACTAATACAAGAACTGCAAAGAGAACAGAAAACATGGATTAATAGGACGTATCATTGTATGATGAACGAATGAAATAGGTACAATCAGCAGTTTCTGGTTTCTCCTGGATCTGGGACCTTTGGCCTCTGGGTCTCTTGCTTCTGGAATCCTCTCTAGATTTCACCATTCCATTATCAGCCCTTTCATCATTCAGAGTTACCTGGGTGCCAGTGGTTCCTGTCCGTCTTCATCCTTCCTATCATGATGATTTCCTGTGAACCAAAAATAGAGACGGCTAGTAGGAAATTGAGCAGGTCCCATTTCATGCCTTACAAATACAAGGGCCTATCTGACAGAGCCATAATACCCTACATGTTTGTTTTTTGGGGGGGGGGGTTACTTTATTTATTTATTTAGAATTTTAGAATTTTATTTATTTTTTTATACCTACATGTTTGTTCATAACGCTCTGAAAGAATTTTTCCAGGAGGGCTCAGGTCGTGTCTTTAGAGGAGTAGCCTGGCAGGCTTTCCTGAGCAACAATGAACACTGTTGCTGGTGTGGTGAATCGTCCCCATGATGCGTCCTGTTCCCCAGCACACAGGATACTTGCCCGGCTGTATTCTATACTTCTTCAGCTATAACCTTCATTTCCCCCACAAGCTTGGTTGATGGACCATGGCTGTGAGTCCCATTATTCCTCTCACACAGACCCTGCAGCAGCCACTGAGGAGTAAATACTTTAGAAGAAACCACCTGTTTCTAAGCACCTGACTGGACCAGGGGACCTCTGCATGCTGATGACTGTAAAGAGAATCTTCCCTTCTTTTCCGTTTCTCTTTTTTTTTCTCTCCTGACCCTGCCCAGAGACCAGCCCAGTTGCAGAACCGTATTGTCGAGGCAGCTGAGCAGGGACCTTAACCACAAATGAGAATCTAGCTCTCTAGTCCAAAAGGGACCTCTCGTCTAAAAAGTGTGAAGAGTGTCACCTCTTTTTTTTTCTTTCTCAATTTTCTTGCCTCCTTGCTCTTAAAGTAGCCCCAGTCATGTGGAACTGCAAGACAGTGAGACAGGAGAAACGACTGGGAGAACCCAATCTTTCTGAACAGAGGGACTTGGAAAAAGGACACTTGGGAACTGGAAAGTAGGGAAGAAATGCCAGAGAGGGGAGAGGCTGGAAAGCTGTCTACAAACTGTCAAAAATCCCAGGGCTCATCCCCAAACTGAACATGTGTGGAACAGACCCAAGGAATCATGGCAAAGGATTAGAGATCTGAATTACCATATAAAACACCAGCTAGTGCAAACTAAACCTAGTGACATAGTTGCTGGACTGACCCAAACAACACATCAAAGGCCCTGAACACTAAACTGACACTGGAACTACTGCCCATAGAAGGTGAGACAGAACTTGCAGTCTGAACCTAGAAGGGGTTGATTGCCCGCTAGGAAATAATTTTCAGAGGACTTTAACAGGACCCAGTGTCTCACAATATAATATTCAAAATGTCCACAGTACAATCTAAAAGTACTCAACATAATGAAAACATATAATCTGGGGGCTTCCCTGGTGGCGCAGTGGTTGAGAGTCTGCCTGCCGATGCGGGGGATGTGGGTTCGTGACCCGGTCCGGGAAGATCCCACATGCTGCGGAGCGGCTGGGCCCATGAGCCATGGCCGCTGAGCCTGCGCTTCCAGAGCCTGTGCTCCGCAACGGGAGAGGCCACAGCAGTGAGAGGCCCACGTACCTCTAAAAAAAAAAAAAAAAAAAACATATAATCATCTCAACAGATGAACGAAAAGCATTTGACAGAACTCAACATCGATTCAAAATAAAACTCTCAGCAAATAAGGAACAAAGAGGAACTTCCTTAAATAAGTTGAAAGGTTTATTCAGCTGTACCGTGCCTGCTCATGTTTGTGTTAGGAGACATAGTTTCTTCTCTGATGTCCGCAGTCGCCATCATAAGACAATAAGTAGAAGGTTTGTTTGTTCATTGAAATACGGATAAATAAAAGAAAACAAACAATAGCTCAACTTGATGAAAGGCACTATGATCATTAATTAGAAAACTCAATATTATTAAAAATGTCCATTCTCCTCAAACTTTTCATAGATTTAAAGCAATGACACTCAAAATCCCAACAGGATTTAAATAGATAATGACAAGCTGATTGTAAAATCTACATGGAAAGGCAAAGAACCTTGTTTTAGGCAAAGAGTTCTTAGATAGAACTACAAACTTATGATCCATAAGATGGACTTCATCAAAATTAAGAAATTCTTCTCTCTGAAACGGAGTTAAGAGAATGAAAAGATAAGCCACAGACCGCGAGAAAATATTGACAAATCAAATATCTGATAATGAATTGTATCCAGAAATATAAAGAACTCTCAAGACTCAATAATAAGAAAACAAACAACTCAACTTTAAAATGGATAAAATAGGTGAACACTCACTTTTCCAAAGATATTTGGATGGTCAATAGGCACATGAAAAGATCTTCAAAATCATTAGTCAATGGGCAAATGAAAATTAAAACCACAATGAAAGGCAACCACACACCTATTAAAAGACAAAAAGCAAAAGAACAACCTGAAAATATCAAGAGCTGGTGTTGGGGAACAGTTGGAATGCTGACTCATCACAAGGGGGAGTGTGAAATGGTACAGCCACACTGGAAAACAGCTTGGCAGTTTCTTCGTGTGTGTGTATGTGTGTGTGTGTGTGTGTGTGTGTGCGCGTGTGTGTTACCAAGAAACGTTTTTATTTTGCTTGCAGTACCTTTTTGTTAATTGCACAAAAGCATGTTTTGTTTTTGCCATTTAATCATTATCACACAATCCTATTCTGAAAGACAAATGTTCATTAAAAACGAAGGAGAAATGAAAATGCACAACCTGAATTACCTAGAAGGCAGTGTCTTATAAGTTAAACATACACTCACCCTATGACCCAGCAATCTCACTCCTAGATACTTACCCAAGTGAAGTGAAGTGAAAATGTATTCTCACACAAAAATCTGTATGTGAATCTTAACAGCTATTATTCATAACTGGCCCAAACTGTGGATGAATGGATAAACAAAAAGTGGTACGTCTCTATAAGGGAATAGTACTCAGCAATAATAAAGGAACAAACTACTGATACATTCTGGAGATGAAAAGTCTAAAGGGACAGAAAATAGACCCAGTGGTTGCCAGGGACTGGGTTTGGGGAAAATGGCTGACTACAAAGAGGCACAAGGGAACTTTTAGGAGTGATGGAACTATTCTACATCTTGATTGTGGTGGTGCTTTTATCACTGTATGCATTTTTCAAAACTCACAGAACTGATATTACAATGGGTCATTTTACTGTATGTCAATTATCCTTAAAAACCAAAACTGATTGGATGGCTGCTGCCTCCTGGTCCAAAAGCCTGTGATGAAGGAGGCAGTTGTAACAATGTGGCCTCCAGCCCCGTGTATTCTCCCCTGTACTCGCCCCCAGCCAGTCCTCACATTGTCATGGTCCCCAGAATGTGAGGTGAACGGCAGGTGGAGTGTAAGCACCTGACAGTCCTCTTCTTTTAAAATTGTAACCCGAGTGCCTGATATTATTACTGATTCCTGAGGCATCCACTTCAAAGACAGCTATCTCAAAGAATCACATGGGCAGCTACAGGACTAGACGAAGAAGCAGGCTGCCCCACCTCTGAAGTTTCTCTTGATTTAGAGATCCCTGGTTGATTTAGATAACTGGTGTTTGACCGCTTGTTTTTCTTTCCTGCACTTTAATTCCCCCTCTTCTGTTTTAAATTCACAAATAGTGAACCCACAAAACCCTAGGCACCCCAGCCTCAACCCAAATTAAACAGAACTACAGGCCTGTGCTGTCTCCCTCTCTACCCCTGACCTCACTGGGCGGCCCTGGGGGAGCCGTGTACCCTCCAGGAAGTGTGAGTAATACACCTCACGTTTCTCAAAGTTCCCTGATGGTTGTTGCTGAGGTGTATCTTGCAATCATAATAAGAACCACAAGGGTTGGTCCAGCCATAACACTGGCTCCAAAACGGGAAATGTCTGTGGGGGCTTCCTCGGGCCCAGGGGAGGACCCCCAGGTTTATCTAGCTGACAGCGTCACTATCCTTTGGCTGAGACTGGCACAAAACAGCAGGGCATCTGGCTAAAAAGTCACACTTAGAGTCGTGGAGGCATGGAATCTTATGTGAGGCTAGGGCCTTGGGAGGAGCTAAGGGTCCTCAGACACCTGTAAGCCAACTTACCAGTGGTGAGTTTGCTGGCAAGTCTCTCTGCCAGCTGGCTTCCTTGGGCCAGTAGCTCACAGAATCTCTGTCTCTGGTAGCAGGTAACGTCAGTGCTCCTGAGGAGACTCTCAAAAGACTTGACTGTGTCCTTTGCATGCTGCATGAAAAAATAACAGACACCTTTCCCTTCCTGTAGCTTCTGTCGTAAGTGGGTCAGTTCTCGGGCCTGAGCCTGAATTAGGGGATCATATCTCCTAGAGTGGGAAAGAAAAGTAAAAGTGAAAGTCATGAATGATAAGTTATGGGAATTTCAGCAGAGATATCTCTTAGATTACTCGTAAGAAATTCCCCATGTTGAATTCTCGCACAGCTTGTGAGCCTTCCCTGTGACAGAGGGAATGAGTAAAATAGCATTGGGTTTGTCTCTTTCTTTTTTATTAATTTTGCTTTAAAAAGAAGCCTTGCAGTTCCTCACTTCAGTCCACATCCATTTCAATGTCATATGCAACATCAAGCATTATTCAGAAAGTGTGTGTGGGCGGAAGTCAGGTACAGAAGTATTGGACAGGTACATCTGATACTAATTGAAAGGATGAAAAGAAAAATCAGTGAGAGGGTCAAGATGAAGAGCATTCCTTTGAATGACAAGAAGATAAGCCGTAATTAGTAAGGAGGCACGTAAGAGTAACAATTAAAATTCTGAGTAACAATTGCATTACTCTATGTGGGATTTCACAGTTTTCTAATTATTGTACAAATATTTCTCATAGATTCCAATCTAGAATGTGAGCTCTGTGAGGCTGGAGACAGGGCTGTGTTACCCAACTAAACAGTACACAGTAGCGTGTATACACCCAAGTAGGCAATCAGTTAATACGTAGAACCACGTAATCCTAATGCTAGAGTAGACATTGTCACCTACCCCATCTGATGCCTGAATCTCCTCACCACTAAGTGATCTTCTACAGATTGTCTTTCAAACTCTATTCCTTAGAGTTCCTATAAAGTGTCAGAGGAGGTAAAGGCAGAGACCAGGCAGAAACAGGGCTCCAGACCTAGGCCTCCTTCAATCAAATATCTCTGCTTTAGTGGGTCTTACACAATTGAGCTTCTCAGATTTCATTTTAACCAAGGTTAAAAGACGTCTCAAATGCCACAATCTACCCTATGTTTGAAACTCTCTAAGGATGGGCAATGCTGGTCCTTGCAAATTAATAATTCATTTTGTAGGCAACAGCTGCTCAATTATCTATCTACTCAATGCCCCTCCCAGTTAACACACCACATTGTCTGATACTTAGAAAAAAAAAATCAAAGTTGGGGAGGAGAAACATTATTATCATGAAAGGTACTTCGGAAAACTGGAAATTAGGAGTGTCTGCTTGCCAGCCATGGCCAAGCCCCGGGCCTGTCAAGAGTAGAGGTCCTCGCAGTCCCCAGGCTGCGACCACCCCAGGGGCCTAGTCTTACAGAGGCCCAGCCCTGAGGCTGCATAATCTGGGGCAGCCACCATCAAGAAGCCCCTCTCAGGGGTCAGTACTCCTTTGCGAGCATGGATTCCTTAAGTCAGGACTGCATAACTAATAAAAACCAAATCTGGGCTTCCCTGGTGGCGCAGTGGTTGAGAGTGT